CCTGGCTTTGCCATGGAGCGGACGATAATGCCGCCGACCCTGCATCATTAGACCTCCGTTTCTCCAAGGAGGTTGCCCGGACCCCCTTCCAAGATCACTCCAAAATTGATATGGCTTCTTGAAGCGAATCCCAACGGCACGGCATGATTTTTCAAGCATTTGGAGACCCGTTAAACCCGCCAAAATATGTATCATGAGCATGAACCATTTTGAAAACTAATCTCCGAGGCCCATCCGTGCCTGAGCACCTTTTCTTTGGAGATCTGGGGGGTATCAGAAGACGTTAAATTTGAGAAACGGGTTTCCAATGATTCTAATAATATTGGTCTACGTGGCCTATATCATCAGCATCATTGGGGCTCCGTTTCTCCAATTTGGAAGTATCATGCTGCAACTATTATATATTTTTCGTATATTTTATAATGGCTTTTGGACGGCATCATGAGGCATCAAATTAAGATTGATCCCATCTATTCCGAACCCATGCCCAAAACCATAGATCTAGGCCAGATACGGCCAGCTTTGGAGTAAATCCCTCCAAAACAACCAAAGATGATCTCATCTATCCCAAACCCATGTCCTAGGCCCCGAGAAATGCTGCCTGCATTATCCCCCCCCCCTTGGCGCAGCCCCTTACATATAAAATTCTTTCTATAGAAGATACGACTCATCCCTTAGCTTAGAGAATATTACGTCCCAATGCGGATCAAACGATATAAGATGAATAAGCTGGAATCATATCGAAGATTTCCTATTCTCCTTTATACCTATCATCACGCCACGTCAGGCCACGACCTCCCTCCAACCCTTACCGCAATCACAACAGCAACTCTCTAACCACCACCAATTATTTTTTTCGCCTTCTTCGCCACTGCCCACTAGCAGCGCCACCGACAAAGACTTTAGCGCTAACGAGCCGGCGCAATTCAACAATTATGCTATTGTGATTTGAACCAACAAATCTTATCGAAGATCGATTATCCTCCTCTATATATGTCTCCTGTCGACCGCTCCACGGCCTCGCCATGCCATCCGTGACCGTGACCGTGGCCGACTGCCACGCCCTCTCCTCGCCGCCCCCGACCCCCGCCCATGAATCCCGCCAACCACTACCGATCCTCCCCGACCCCTGCTCAAGCCCGCGCCCCGCCTCTACCACTGCGCACCCCCCCAGCCCCGCCCCGCCCCCCCGGGCCCTCAGCACCGCCGCCGCCACTGCCACCGCCACGCCAATATTTCGCAAATTTACATATTCACGCCTCACTAGCAAAACACGGCTGGCTAGCAGATACATGGTTGGCTAGCAGATTGTTTCTACGGAGGACGCGGCGGCTTCATGCTTAGCTGGGACCGGTCTTCCAAAACATCTGTTTTGGTGGAAAAGCGGTCCCGGACAGCTGTATGAAAATTCGCGACTTCGAAGCGCGCGAGGGCGATGCTACGTTCGAAACGACACAATCCAAACCTCAAGAATGAATACGTTTCATCTCAAGAAGAATGCATTAACAAACGGACGAAATCTTCAAATTCCAAAGAAAATCCGTCTATTTCGACAGTCCTAACCATTTTCCAAAGTTCTGTGAAAATTATGAGACTTATGAGAATTTCTAAGAGACTCGCCGATTTGATAACCTTTAAGACTTTTGATAATTGATAGATCTCTATTTCCTCTTATACGACTCTAGAATTGTACGTAACAAGATTCCTATATCTGTTTATAAAATGGTCATCTTCCTTAAAAAGAGTGATCTATGATTGCCTGTCATATGAGTAATGAGAGAGTGATATTTACTGATAAATCTTCAGTCAATTGCGTTGATCTGACATTTTTTGGGGATGTATGCCGTGGTCGTTCTCGAGGCCGTGCAGGGCCAAAGATTGCCACTCAATCACCATCTCAGCTGACAAAATCAGAGAGTGCCCGAACATCATGCAGTGGTGACGAGATCAGGTGCAGGCCCATCGAAGGCCAAGCGGACTTTCATCTGATGCCAGTCACCGTACCTTTCCAAGCAGGGCTTGATTGGCATGTCAGAAGACTTGTCCATAATGTTTTCACTGCTGCTGCTGGTGCAGGAACACCTGATGGGATCAAGGTCATTGCCGTTGTTCAGCAAATACGGCCTGAGCCTCAGCTGGCCCAGAAGTTAGGTAATGGGCATGAGCATCATCACTGACTGAGGCTTCCAGCGGTGCAACCCAGGTGTCGGAGTCGGGCTGTAGGAAGAGAATATGAGACCTAACGTGCCACTTGCAAGGACCGTTCAGATCTCCTAAGTACTCACCCTTCTCCTAGACTCGGATGACTTTTTTTTGTGTCAACAATGCCCTGTCATCACCCTTTTGTCGCAGTACCATGCATAAAGAATGGAGCACAGACTCCAGCGCTGATCATTCTCAGGATCTGGCTGGCGGACTCCTGTCAAAATCAAGTCAGGCAGGCTAAATATTTGTCATACCAAAGATTTACGCAAGCCACGAAGCCCGTTTACTTCAAAAAGCTCTGCTTTGATGTCGACATCATGTTGGAATTGATCTCTCAAAATCGGCCCTTTCCTGGTTGACCTCCGCCGCCTTCCTCCTGGAGCTTTGGCCTGGTCTTCAACGAATTGCTGAGCTTTAATGAACTTCTGACAGTGTTGGAACCAAATTGATTTGATGCTCCTTTAAGGAACGCCTCAACAAAACTCAGTGAGCAGCGCTGCTTCGAGGGACTCCGTCTGCACATGCACTCGATGCGGCAGCGCCTGCATGTTGGCGTTCTGCGAGGTCAGTAAGTCTGGCTGCCATGGCAGACTCTTGCCTTGATGCGTCCATTTGTCATCCGCTCCAACATGTCTCCTGCCTGAAGAACTGAGCACAACGGATAAAATTTGTTCTAGGCCTGTGTTCACAGCCCATGTCTGATTGCGCACATTAGATTATGGTTGTTTTGCTCAGGCGTTTGATTGAAGCATGTTGAAGCAGACTTGAGGTGCGAGCTGAGGCCAACGAAAGCTAGCCAGGCGTAAGCACAGGAGGAGGGGAATGGGAGCAAGAAGCACAAACCTCTGGAATGGGCCTGCAAGGCATCTCCTAAAACCTCTCCCGCCTCTGAAACTGCTCATTACACTGTACACTCCGATCTGCATTCCACTTTCCACTCTTCTTTGCGATCTGCACGCCCTCCAGAATCCAGACTCCACATTCCGCTCTGCAGAGTCCGCGCTCCCGTATCCACTGTCCACGCCACTGTCCAGTCGACTTCACAGCACACTGTCCACTCCACGTCCCAACCAGTCCACTTCCCAGTCCCTTCTCCACTCCACTCTCCACTCCACTTTTGCTCATCCCCGACTTCATGCCCACTCCCCAACTCTCCACTTTCCTGACCCCACTCTCCACTCGACTCCCTTTCCACTTTCTCCACTCGACTCCACGCCACTCCACTCCGCTCTCCACACTCTAGGCTCGATGCTCCAGTCTCCACTTCCCTCTCCACTTTGGATCCACTATGCTCCACTCCCCTCCTCACTTGCGTCTCCACTCCACTCTCCACAATCCCTTGTCCACACTCCACTGCACTTTCCACGCAACCGCTCTCCACTTCAGTATCTGCTCTACTCTCCACTCTACTTCCCAGGTCCCACTCCAATTTCCATTCCATTCTCCACTCCGCCACTTCGCTTTCCACTCCACACCGCAATGTTCCACTCCATTCCATTCCACTTCACAATGGCGATCCCAAACGGCCTCGTGCCCATAAGGTCCAAAAGCTAAGATAGTTGATAGTTATGAGCATGGTGATCTCGACAGTCCCCATCCCGACTGTTGGGACTTGTGGCACGCGACGCAGTAACGATGGACAAAAAGGGACGGCGGTGAACGGCCCGCATCCCTGTGAATATGGGCACTTTCGACACGCCACGAAGACATGACCATCCAACAGACACTAACGAGCATGGTGAGCTCGAGCGGCCCATCCCTGCGACCGTTGACAATTCTTTTCAACGCAACAAAGACGCGACCCTCCGAAAGCAGCGGCAGTTGCAAGGAATGTCTGGTACGATAACCATGCAAGGGTATGCACCAAGAAGGAAAGAGTGGCAAGGTTAAATCCAACCACCTAGCCCAATGTTGTTCCTGCCATGACCATGCTTGGGTGGGGTCGTCAACACTGCAGGAGTAGCGAGGTGTCAAATGAAGCACGAAGTGGCTTGAACCAGACCTTGAAAATGTATGGAACACGACAGCATGGGAAGGAAGGTTCATTGCAACCACCCAGCAGGATATTGCACATAGGGTAGTGATCACACTAAAGAGGGGGAACCCTACAGAGAGGAGCGGGGAGGTTTAATGAAACCACCAACATCATGTTCTTCGCATCACAACCTTGCCGGGGCATAGCACACTAGAGCCAATAGGGAGCTTTGACGCAGCTTCACTCGTACCACGACCATGCAAAGGCAGTGAATGGTACATTGAGAGTAGAAAGGCTAGATGTGACCACCAGAAACGACGTCTTGAATCTATGAGCATGCAAGGGCAGTGAGCACTGCAGAGACATTAGGGAGGTTTGATGCCATTACCAAGCAAGATCTTGGTATCATGACCATGCACGCGACACGACAGAAAGAGAGGGGAGGTTTAATGCAGCAACAAAGCACCAGGATATGCCTATATTGACCACGCAACGCGACCAAACACTACAGAACGCTTAGGGAAAGTCCAGTCAAAGCCAGCAAGACCCACCAGGCATGATGTTTCTCGTACCTTGACCAAGAGTCATTAGTGCGGTTACCCGGCGGAGTGAAAAGGTTTGATGCACCAGAAGATGCGATTTGATTCATGCTGAAAGAAGACCACTGACTACGGAAATGTATGCAAAGGCAACGAACGCTACCACTGGAACGATGGAAATTCGACGCATTGACTTGCTCGTAACGTGGCCGCCCAAGAGTAGTGAACACTGCGAATGAATAGGGAGGTTTGATGCAACCAACCATCATGGTGTTACCCGCACGATGACCTTGCAAGGGTAGTGAACACTGCAGATGCGGCCCCCAGAACCCGTGTCATTAGTTCCCGCAGCATGGGCAGGCCAGTCTACAGAAAGAATGGGGAGGTTTGCAATAGTAGCCAAGCATGACCTTCGTATCTTGACGTAAAAGGGTACAGAAGACTATTGAAAGAACAGAGAGGTTTGATGCAACAACCAAGCGTGATGAGTACTGCATTGGATGAAACACTAAGGACAGGTTCGCTTCGGAAGGGGTGATATTGATCATGCCATGGCCTAATAAATTTCATGTCTGGAGCAAGCGCAAACAAGTCAAGTAACCTATGACAAACATATTCTGAATTCATTAGCAAATCCCCTCCGGTAGTCATTCTTGAAAGAATCGACACTGACCCCCTTCTCCCCCTCAAAGGCTGGGATTATTGTTGAAAAATCAATGCTGAACCCCCTCCCCCAATCCCTCCAAAAACCTCAGATTCCGATGGAACAGTCACTATTGCCCCCCTTGCCCACATCCTGTGGTAAAAACAATGACTGTAAACCATGTCTGCCACGTACCACTAAAGCAAGACAGACCTCAATCCAGCAAGCTAGCTTTCGTGATTTTGTGCTGCCAACCTCAGGCAAACATTCGCCCAGGCCTGCCCATGCTGCCTGCTTCAAGGGAGTGTTTTGAATTTGACCGTCGCGTTTCCTTGCTTTGTTTATCGGCCCTGCTTGCGGAGTACCTTTGCGCGCTGACAGACCAAGGAGATGATGTATGTACGGCAAGCGTCCAGGGGCCCAGTGTGCCGGACAGCCATTTGAGTGTCGGCTTGGAGTTAAGCCTCTGGCGAACAGAAGAGCTCCTCCTTCTGGAGGTTCCTCCAACCTGAGAAATCAACCCCGAAAAGTCTGACAATCGGTTCCTCTGCAGCCTACCTGAGTTTCTTGCACATGCCAGGAACCGTGCGCAAACACCTGCAAAACGAAAAAGAACTTAAGCTCTGCTGAAGCTCACCGCAACAAGCTGCTTGATTGCGCTCTTGATCTTCATTTGACAGCTTCTTCTTTCTGCCGCTGGATGGTGCCCTGTGCCCTCTTTCGCACTCCCAAAATGTTTAGCGCCGCCCAAGTCCCGAGCTTAACTTCCCGCCAGAAAAACGTCACTTCTATCTTTTTGGCCTGCAGAGACCACAAAGCGCCCATCCATGTTTTGTCATAGACCCCTTCAGACTTGTACGTGCGCATTGTCCTCTAACCTTCATCTTTTTCACTTGCGGTCACGATGATGGTAGGCAGTACCCACAACCTGTCTCTCTAGTTTGTATCGATATAAGCCTTGTCTCTTCTAAGTTTTCTGTCATATCAACATGAAACCACTGTAAGGACATTTCATCTCAGCAACGCGGCAAACCTAGGGAAAAAGATGAATGCCACCATTTGCACCATGGCATCCGAGTCTGCAGACCCCTAAATGACATGGTGCCTAGGAATGAGCACGTAATCGCATCGACAAGCAATTTTGCTCCAGGAAGTCGCTTGTCAAAAGCCACCGCCCGCAAGAAGTTTCTTACGCAAAACGGTCCCGAAAGCCGGCAGGGGTTCGGAAGATGAGCAATGACGAAAATCAGCAAGAAAGCGCCGTTACACCCTCAGTTTCGCTCAAATTTGGCCTGGGCCAAAGTGCGGGTCACTAACAAGTCGCGCATTACCTTGTTTCTGTGCCAGCCTCGAGACCAGGCCCGTTTGAGAACTGCAGGGTCACGACACCATAATCCTGCCCGGGCAGAACTTGATTGGCAATGCTTTTGCTCTCAGTTGGACGATGCAGGCGGGTGGCGGTATGCGAGGAACATGTGCCCTCTGCTGGGTACACCTGAGCACTGCGCTTCCTCCTTTGCTTTATCAAATCCTTTTGCACATCTCATGTCGGGCTAATGTGGACTAATGCTGAGCTTTCAGCGCAGTGCCTCAAACCACTGCGGCCTCAAGAGCTTCACCAAGGTCATCCACAATTGAGACATCCAGTGATGGCGCAAACGCCATTCAGTGGCCCATGCCCCATCTCTCCCATCCAAGCCGGAGTTTCACACCTTGGTTGTGTTGCTTGGTCCACTGCTTTGTCTGCTGATAGGTAGGTAAATTCGGTGAATCAGTTTATGTCAAGAGATTCCTGGCTGGCTCGTGTCTAGTGCACTGTGCAACACCCCGAAAGCCGAACCTAGATAGTTATATGGAACCTCCAGGTTGCAAGGGAGCGGCCAAGCAAGTCGCGGTTGCCCTTCTCCGTGCTGCCTCAAAGGTACTTCTGCCGAGGACCAGTGCAAGGCGCTTCCATGCCATGCGGTACTCTGGGTGCCGGAGCACAAGCTGGCAACCTCCGATTCGAACATCCTGGCCACCGCCGCCTTTTTGGAAACTTCCCCAGCACACTTCTTCCTGCTCTTGAAGGCTTCCCATGCCTTAAGCGTCAGGTAGCCTTCCGGAGCCCATCTTAGGTCTCCCCAGTCGACGAAATGCGATTTTGCCTCAGTCAGGTCAACGCGAACAAATGTGGCGGAAAGGGCTGTCGTCGGCCAAGAGCAGAGCGCTGGATTCCGAAAGTCCAAAGGCGAAGCGCTTGTCCGGCTCATGGTGCTTTGCCTGGACAACTGCAGCAGCTCAAGAAAGACAGTGTCTGTAGCCGCCACCTCCCCGAGCAGAGTTCGACTCAGATCTTCACTTCCAGAAAGTCGCAGATGCCGCTCTTGGGTTCAGGGAATGCGAAACGGGCTTCATGTCACGGAATGCTGACGTTTGCGACATCTCAGGCTCGGGCCATTGACGCACGGACGTGACCTCCATTTTTTTGTCTTCCATGTGGCCTCGCAACAGCCAACGTCAAAGTATGCAGAGGCTCAGCGAGCACTCACCTCAGCAGCAGCACTAGCTGCAGCTGGGTCATGAGAACCACTCGTCACTATCTATTCGCAGACCCCGACCTGACAATGTGTGCGCACAGCGCAGCAAACCAAACAGTCTTATCCCCACATCAAACCATCACTATTGCGTCACAGGAAAAGAGCAGCCCACCTTTTACAACGCCCAAGAAAGGAATCTGAGAAAAGGTCGGTTGGCAACTATGCCTACTACAACACATGTCGATGTAGATTTGGAATGCGTGTTCAAAAGTTGACTCCAACTGAGCCACATACACTACGGCACTCCATGAAGCTGAAGCTCGGAAACACACTCCCCCTTCGGTCGATTTGACCGAACCTTGAGTGCTCACAAAATCACCTCAAACTCTGTATATCCAATCCAGGAGAAATGCACGTACGCTCTTGCATCTCCATCCTCCTTCCAGTTGTCCAAGTGAAGCACACGTCCATACGGAGCTCCCTCCGTGACATCAATCAGCCAAGTTCGCCTTCTGCCAGTGAATCTTGTCAAAGTCACAGGCAGTGTTGTACCGCTTGGTACGAACATCCGGGTTCTGGCAGCCACGTGCCAGCGTAGAACAGTCCGAGGATGTCCTGGACGATACTCATATCGGTCTTGCCCAACCGGACTCAAGGCCCAACTGAGAACTGCCGGCCAATCTGTGAACTCACGAGTGCGAAACTGGAACTCCGATCGAGACGGGCGAGGTCTTCTCGTCAAAGCTGTAGCTGTCGGCAACGGGGCTCCTGGCCCCTGTGGGGCGGTTGACTCTTCCATTACCTGTCCAGCCTGGGCCTCGACTCGCTGACGCGGGCCTATAATCACCACGTCGTCCACATGGTGAAAGACATGAATACTGTTGTCCTCTGCTTCAGTAGCCGCTTGAGGTGCTTCTCCAGAGACGGTCCAAGGTCGTACTCTACTACAAAAACCCACAATACGTCTACCATTACGACAAACAACCTTACTTAAAGACTTTAGGATTTCCCAACCACAAATAACAACAACGGCCAAAAAACCCAAAAACTGCCAGTCGGCGTCACTCAGGGTCGAAGAAGAGGTCCGCGCTCCCTCGGCTGTATCCACCAGGCTTGCCACCATAAGACACACCAGCAGCGTCTTGATCTTTTCCTCAAGGGAACCGTCGACCACGTTCCCCTTCTGCTTTATCTCGCCTGGCTCCCCCATGCCCAAGAGTGCAGTGAGTTGGTGGAACCTCGGACTTGGCAGGGGCTTCGTGCCAAGATCTGCCCTCATGCTCTGCCCGCAGACGTGATGCAGGCTGTAGCGTCCAGATTCAAGAGCTTCCTTGATGTAATTAGGACGGAGACGAAGGTGGCGTGTACGCCAGTTGTTTGCTGCAGTATTGCAGATCGCAATAGCCGCTTGGCTGTCCGAGTGCATACGGAGCGAAACTGCCTCTCCAGCGATTTCAGCCACCAATGGCTCCAGCGCACGTAGCTCACCAAACAACGTCGTGATGGCGACTAGTTCCGCTTCTGCTGTCGACATCGTTATGTGTCCCTGTCGGGACGACGACCAAGCTATCAGTGCCTGATTGTAAAAAATGGTCGTCGCTTGTTGGGATCGCCCCCCTTGCGGGGCGAAAGATGCATCACAGAATCCTGTCAGGGATCCACCACTCATTGGCACGGACAGCTCACCCTCCTCCTCCCAGGTCAGATCGCTCGGTCGGTAAACCAACCCCCGGCCCGGATACCGAACAAGGTATTTTATGGCTTGCTCCCCCATGCTGATGGCCTCCAAAGGGTTGACTGAGATCATACGCAATATCGCTCCAACCGCGTACTGCATCTCTGGACGAGTGAGGCCACTCAGCCACAGGAGCTCTCCAGCCATTTGTTGGGCCTTCCGCACGGCCTCCTTGTCCGGCGCCAAACCTGTCGGAACATCTTGGAGCTTAAGAGCTGGCACATCTGCCCCGCCAATATCTGGGTAGCTTGAGAGGAGCTCCCTGGTGTACGAACCCTGATGGATCAACACAGCTTCTCCACACTTCTGGATTTCCACCCCCCTATAGTGAAGACACCCATCTTCTAGCAGTTCAGGCTTGGACAACTCCCACTTCTTACCCAGCTCGGCGATAACTTCAGTGATGATCTGGGGGGTGCTCAAGACCATTAGGTCGTCCACGTACACCAGTAGCAGCCCCAGCCTCTGTGATGGATCGACGGGCTCTTCAAGGTCTCCCGGAACAAGGGCCCAGATGTTGGGGTCTGACTCGAACTGCACTAGCCGCAACAGTCCGGAGCGAGTAAGCAGTTTCAACCCCGGCAACGTGCGATCACGGCATCTGGCCCAAGCCGCCGGGCTTATTTGCAAGCCGTAGAGCGCTCGCTGGACGTCCCAGAAGGTCTCAACACAGATCCCCAGGCGGCGCCACAACCCTGGCGCGCGGATGACAACTCTCTTGGCGCCGTGATCCGCTTCTTCAAGTTCCGCGTTCAGAAAAGCGGTTTTTATATCTACTGCTCCTGCGGACCATTGCCGTGCGACCATCAGTGCCAGACAGCAGCGCAAAAACAACGTCTAGGCCCCCTGCGTTAAAGTTGGTTGGCGGAATACATCCCCTCACCCAGGTAGTTTCCGCACCCTACGCAGCGCACTTTGTGCCTAGCCGTAAACGCTTTCAAGGTGAAGATTAATTTGGCCGGAATGACCTGAAAAACTTCACCCGCAGCTTCTCGCCGCGACAACTCTTCGGCCGTCACCGGGCTCACTACCTGCTTTTCACAAACTAAGGCCTGGTATTCCGCAACCATGGGTTCCCACCAGGACTCAATATCCTTGAGCACATCCTCCACCGAAACGATCTTCGTTTGAAGCGGGGCCCCGGTTTCAGTCTCAATGCTAGCTTCGCATCCTCCCCCGATGTCTCCTGCCACACTGCAGACTCTCTGTGGAAAGTCCCGATCTGCCTGGGCCAAACAGACTTGAAGGGCTTCTTTCTCATACGAGAGCTCAACCGCCAACTCCTCCTCCATCCCTTCCAGGCGTCGGAGTTCCTGGGCTTCCCCTTGATAATCAACTCCGTGCTCGGCCTCTTCCAGCACAATCTCCCTCTGCTTCACACAGAGCTTCCGCAGTTCCACCAACACCTGGTCTAGGTATCCTTCTCGCTCCCGCAGGCTGTGGGACTGGATACTCAAGGGCAAGTCATCGACTAGAAGCTGCATGTAAACCTCGTACTTTGCCAACTCCGACTCCCGAACCGCCTTGCACACCAACACTGCTTCCGCAAGGCTCATGATCTGGGCATCCCTTGCTCTCATGGCTCCTGTCTCAAGCCTAAACCCTACGGGATCAGGCTGAAACCCTACGGGATCAGGTCTAAACCCTATGGAATCGGGTCTCAACCTGTCGGGATCGGGTCTAAACCCTACAGGATCAGGTCTAAACCTTATGGGATCAGGTCTAAACCCTAGGGGCTCAGGCTGTGAAAGTTCACTCTCCTCCGCCACAGGTCTCAACACAGAAAACCTCTCACCAGTTTCTGTACCCGGCAGTTCCGCGAAACCCTGCTGACAGCCTACCTCTTGCGACATCTCAACGCCACCTGAACCTTGTGCGCTTGCCAAGGGCAAAACCTGAGCTGCCCCTGAACCTTGTGCACTTGCCAACGGCAAAACATGAGCTGCACCCTTGTGCGCTTGCCAAGGGCAAAGCCTGAGCTGCACCTGAACCTTGCGCACTTGCCAACGGCAAAACCTGAGCTGCGCCTGAACCGTGTGCGCTTGCCAAGGGCAAAACCTGAGCCGCACCTGCGATTCTCGGCGCTGCGTTGTGAACTCGGTTGGCACGATCATCTGCATTCACTATTCTCGCTGCCACTGCCGGTCCTTGAAACCCCTGCGTCGCCGGTCTGCTTGGCCGATGGTATCCTGCCCTGGCCAGAGGTGGAGGGTCCGACCTTCCTTCCCCTGCTGCCCCGGTGCATCCGAGGATAGCTTCGGCTTCGGCTTCTTCCTTCGTTGCCCCTGCTTCCATGAGGTCTTCTCGATACAGGAACTCGAAGTCTTCCATGTCATCAACGCCGAGGGCATCAATGGGCCCTACCAGGTGCTCCAACCCAAGACCTATAAGGTGCTGCTTCACCCTATTCCAATCCTCCGGGCATAAGTACCTCGACGTTATGCTGCCTTCGGCTGCCGTGTCCACGTCTTGACCAATGTCCCGCCATCATGCAACTTTCCAACAGGCCTTGCGACCAGCTTCCCTTGTCTCCAATTTCCTCAGGATCCGAAGAAGCCAAAGCCGAAATTTTATCCCCACTATCTACTCCTCCCCCAGAACCAACTCCCCCTGAATCAACTCTCCCTGCGCTGACTCCCCCTCGACTGCACTCCAGTCGAAACCCAAGAGATTGCAGTTGACGTACAATTGCCGGACTTGCGCGGTCCAGCCAAGGCACAGTGTACCCAACAAGCAAGACGTGCGGCTGAGCGGCAGTGGTAGGCCCAGATGAAGGCACGGGATGCAGCTCACGCGGATCCCAACTTGCAAAGGCAGTCGAAAGCCAGGATAAGCGCGCCCGTCCTTACCCAGCCAAGTGAGGGAAGACAGGCCGCTATGGAGAGGGTTCTGAACCCATAGGTATGGCTCATCACACGGGAGGGCTAGGGGTAATACGTAATTGCAGGTTATCTTAAGATTGCGTCGGTCAACATGAGGTTCTGCCTCCACAGACGAGAACAAAGCCAAAGTTGTCCAACCACCCTGTGGATCCGCCTGAGCTAAAAGAGCATTTAGAAGACCAACGACACCTGACACGGTGTCGGTAATTGCCGTGATGCCAGTAAGGCCTCCATGCTTGTACCATCCAAAAAGCAAATACCTAGACACCTCTCCAACGCCTAAACGTGCTGGAAGGCAGCGAGCAGCCTCCCACAAGTCGGGCGAAGAAACTATCAAAGCTGCTGCA